CCAAGACTGGTTAGAAAAGGACGAAGGCTGCAGCAGTTCCCTCAACCAGCAACGTCACGATGGCTTTTACTGCTCAACCTCACGCCACTTGCATGGTTTACCATGACTCACAATGCAGACATGCACATCCAAATCTCTGTGACATCCGCATGCAAATGCTTGATGTGCACTTGTAAGCGTGAGTTAGGATGAGAATCAGCGCCACTATCCCTCCCCCTGTTCCTCCAGAAGCAGGACAGCCGTCAAATCTTGAAAAATGCATGCCAGTTTTGGTGACCGGCTATGAAACACCAGCACTGACCCGAATTAACACGAGCATTACCACTAGCGAACACTCACACGACCGTCTGCCTCTGCTTCTTCGGTGGGTGCTGGTGGAATGCTGCTGCCGTGGACTGCATGGCTACGGTTGCCAACTCAGGGTCTGGCTTAAGACCGCCTTTGGACGGGCTGGACGCCTTGCGATTGGAGTCCTCTGCAAGAGCCGTGCCCATGGCCTGGCGGGAAGCAATCGCATCGGAATCAGGTATCCTCTGCCAAACAAGCATGGAAAACCAATTGCAAGGACATCAGTCTTTGCAGGGCCCGTTGTGGGTTCATTATGAATACAAAGGACTGGAATCTGATGGACCAGGCACTTTTGCAGCTACCTGGCGACTTCTAGTTAGGGGTCTGAGAATTGCGCAGCTGTTGCGGCAGAATCTGAAAGGCTGATCTTTATTCACAAGTGGGATGCCAGAACATCCCGCGTCAAAGTAATGTTTCTTTTTACCTCCATCAGAATCCGTGTATACGTGAACATAGAACAGAACCCATGTTGAAATGCCCCGCCATTTCGCAGAACAATATCATTCGAGAAATCCTTGGAGAATCCCACACACAGACCAAGATTTGGCATGCATCCAAATAAGGGCTCTGCATTGGAATTGGCCATGTCTTTGTGTGAGCCTTGGCAAGCTCCACTGCTAGACAGGAATGTTGCAATAGGCGTTCCCAAAGGTTAGCACCTTTTTTTGCGGGGTCCCTACAAGAAGGACCTATGTTGGATCCTCATTAGTGTGACCCCCCCCCCCCCTCCCCCAAACAAAAAGGGAAGGCTCTATAATGAAAACTCCTCAAAACGATTTGGGGGTCTGGGGGATCCTATGGCTCCTATTGTAACTAAGAAGTGAAGAAGGATCCTTTCGATCCTTTAGCTCCTATTTACAACCAGTAACTGGGTTGGTGTCAAGGAACTTACCCTAAGTTACCATAATGCGTATACATCGTAATCAATATGTTTTCCCCAATATAGTAACTTAAACTTGTAAGGGAAGGGATCAGCTCAAATATGAACTGAACTTGTTAGCTTCGCAGATCCAGAAAATTGATTGAGGCCTTGTTTTGCTTCATTGTGACCCCACCCACCCCCAAAAAAAACAAAAAACAACAATACAACATAAAATATTCGGTCCAGAATAATTGTCTGAAAGCTTCTCTTCGTTGAGCCCCCCAGACTAATCAGGATAAAACATTATAGCATGTTTGGATCTATATTGGGGTCCCCCTATTCAGGAAAACTATCAAAACGTAATAAGCCCCCACATAAGTCCAGTTCCAATGGCATTTTCCATCTACTTCCCGCGTAATTTTCCATTATTTGAGGTAATAACCCTAAACCCCGGACCCGAAATAATAGTTTTCATCCTCTTTTCCCTTACCCGTATATGGTAGCTTCCCTAAAGAGCGGGAACCCAATGTAGACCCCAAACTACTACTATCATTATTGTGGGGGCCCCAAATAAGTTTAAAAACCCTATATCAACCTCCTCGACCCTAAAATAAAGCCTTAACCTCTGAACCTCAAACCCCTGAACCCTTCCCCTAAACCTGTTTCATACACAGTGGGTAAGTCCCGAGCCTATCATCTCACGTGGAAAAAAATCCTCTGCACTAGCTAGTGACTCTATGGAGGTCTCCCAAAATGGGGAGGGGGCTACAGTTCAAGGGGCTATACGGGTTATATAGCAGTGTTTACAAGAATATGTAGCTTTTTGAGAAGATTTCCCCAAATCGGGGGGGTACCATTTTGCGGGTCCTAATAAGAAGGATTATAGCATTTTGAGGTCTAGAATGGGTCCCCTGATTTTGGGAAACTACCAAATCTCCTTGTCAGCATCTTGCCACGTTTCCTGCGCCATCCCTCAGAAGGCGTCAACAACACGGCCCCTTCTTGCAACCAGCCCATTTGCACATAAGTTAGGTGGAACCCCCTACCCTGTAATAGTGGCTATTTCGGATAATGACGATGGTATTACGGTCCTCATATTTTCCTATTATGCCACTATTAGAGGACGGGGGATCTACCTAACTCATAAGCGTGAAGCTATTAATGCTTGAAGGAGGATGCCCACTGTTAAGAAATGTCCGACCTGCAGCCGCTCAAACTCCTCTGAAACGCTGCAACAGATTCCTTGACCCTGGACCCCAAAAGTAGGTAGCGCAAAAGGCCATTATTCTACGTACTTTTGGACTTCAGGTAAGCACTATATGATCCCAAAACCCAAATGCCTGGCCCCTCCGTGCTGAGTTCAGGACAGCTCAAAGCCAGCCGCGGAAACCTAGGGTGCCGTTAAGGAATCTAAGTTACGCGGTTTAGGGTTTAGGGAGACCCTACTACTTACGATATACCCATACTTATGGTGACTTAATTTCAACTCCTTAACAGCAGCCCAGAAACTCGGTCTTCGGTTTCTGCAAAGCTCTGCTCCACGGCAGTGAGCTCAAGTTTCAGCAATGGAAGTCGGAAGTCCTTCTGAACGATGATTATGGATGTTGTGATTCATGCAATCTGGCTATATGAACATCATCATAGACAACTGTTCAGCGCTATACATACTCCAACAACATGGCCTTCTTTTCAAAATTACTAAGGGTGTCAATGTGTCTTGGCCATACCTTGGAAGCAATACTGATTCTGGGAGTCATTGCACAACCTTACCACATGAAATAAGATGCTTCCAGGAGCTGGAATATAGATAGCATCCGCAGTGATATGAACAACATCACGGGCACTCATGGACATCTTAGGTGATATGTTAAATGCAGCTGCTCTGTCTTTCATGCACCGCCAAGCCATGACCACTGCGCTGAGCCGAGCCAGCACGTCCAGCAGGATGGTGAGAAATGCAGCGAAGAACACTGGGGTAGCTCCCAAAATTAGGGTCCCATTTTGGTACGCCTAAATATTAGATGCCATGAAATAATCCAAAACCAAAACCATAATTTTGAGAACAGTCCACTTGATTTGAAGATAAAGTATACAATGGTACGCTATGTGAGCAAGACAAGAAAGCCGGCCAAACTGTATGCGTTAAGGATGTGAAACTTGCACATGGCAGCGGTGCTAGGCTGCGAAGTTCAGTCAATAGCGTCCTCAGCTGCAGACCCTCATAAAAGTACGGGGTAAGTCTTCCTTGGAGGCTCGCATTGTTTCGCCCATGCATGGAGCTGTATTCTGTACATGGTGTCGGTGCAAAATGCTGCCCGCCACGAGGCGATCGCAAGAGGAGAACTGTCAACAGCTAGGTCCGGAGCTGCATCCATAGGGGATGAGGGGAGGAGGAGCTGAGGAGGCGCAAGGAGGAGGCGGCCTCAAAAAATTGTATCCACAGCCTGCGCCCCCTGCACCTCTCCCCCTACCCCTATGATAACTCTCACTAGGGATGTGGAGGAACCTGACCGAGGCATGTCGCATCCAGACACATGCGAGCTGTTCTCAAAAGTACGGGCCCATATGGCCCTTCTGAGCGTGCCTATGCGCGAGCAGCTGTTGCGGAAGCTAGTTTGTTCATCGGCCTGCCTAAGCACATATTCTGAGCAACGACTGTGGATACTCCTTTTGTCAGATACACGTGCATCATGGCCTCACAAGTGGCATGAGCCGTTGCTGCTGTGTAAGCCCTTGCCACCAAGTCGTGTGGGTTTTTGACCATGATCAAATTTTGGCCTTGGCCAAGGTGTCCAACCCAGGGCAGCCTCAGGCAAAACAAGGAATCAAACACAACACAGCAGCAGTGGAACCCAAGTATGCCAGTAGAGTGACAGACCGAATTGCTTCATGCTGCCTACAGTGATAATGATTGTTAGTATTCTTCCCATAATGATTACTACTGTCATTATTACTATACCGACTATTGTATTATTACTATAATGATTACTAATGTTGTAATGGGCTTTGCCACAATAAAACAGCCAGGAGCTATGAACAGGCTTTCTCTCTACGAGCAACACCTACATTCCCCGCACCAAATGGGTCATTGCAAATACTACGGCCATTACTGCCATCACCGGTTACCTCTAGAATAAGCCTTGATTTTGTTGCTTATCTTCCTATCTTATCACATCTTTGGCTATGACTCTTCCCACCCATGCCAAAATTACAGCCGTGGCCAAACTTTTGCCAGGTTGCCGGTTCAGTTGAGGTCAGCATGAAATCGCTTTGCATGCACCGTTCAACCTAATCCAGACTGGAGCACTTCTTAACAACTCTCTGTTGGTACGTAAGGATGGTCTCTTGGGACCATGTTGGGTTTCCAGGGGCGACTGCAACATATGTCTCCAAAATACCTTATTGTAGGTGCCTGACAGGAGGGGGGAACACATCTTGGGAACCACAATAAAGGAAAGACAACATCCAAAAGAAAGGTTCTCTAATAGGGACCCCCGCCCCGAAGCCCTAAACCACTCTAAAAGGGAGCCGGAATTGCTCTGATTCTACGCCTAGCCTAGGGATCCAAGCATATACACCATGGGCCCTAAAGTCTGTAAATAGTACCTACATTGGGCTATGTGGATCCGTAATTCTATGCTAGCCACCCTTGAACCCTAAACCCCAAAACCCCAAAACCCCTAAACCCCAAACCCTATACTCTAAACGCCAAGACCCTGAACCCTAGACCCCGAAACTCTAAACCCTAAACTCACTGCCAGCGACCCATCCCGGCCAGTGGATCCATCCTCTAGCGATCTGTCACGCATCCCAGGCTCGCAGATTGAACCAGCCTTCAGGGATACTGTGGCTTAGGGGTTTCGGGTTTTGGGGTTTTAGGGGTGAAGGGTCTAGGATGTAGGGGTTTAGGGGCTTAGAGTTTAGGGGTTTAGGGGTTTAGTAGGGAATACATCGGTTCCCTTTTCCCACAATTGACGACATTAATGTTTGGTTTAGGGCTTAGGGTTAGTAGCAAGTAAGGGAATGTATCATATGAGTCATAGTCTAGACTCCTAGTATCCCCCTTAATTACCCCTAGAAGAATCCCCATACTAATCCCCTAGATGACCCTCCTTGAGGAGTTTAGACCATAGCTCATATAGGGGTTCTATAAGGGTTATCTTCCTTATTCCCTCCCAACCACAAGTAAATTCAGGGATACGTGTTGGGTTTAGGGTGTAGGGGCCTTTGAATAGCCGTGTAGGGTTCTTTAGGGATACATGCGTATACCCGTGCAGGCTTATTTAAGGTTTAGGATGTAGGGGCATAGTTAGGGTGTAGGGGCTGTAGGGAATGGAGAAGAAAATGGAAAGCTGCTATACTGGGTGGTACTTGAGCTTCAGAGGCACCGAAAATCAGTTTTGAATGGGGTCGGTTTTCCCACAATTGGGACAGTTATTTTATCCCAAAGTGCCACCTACTAAATCATTCAATGCAGATTGCGCGTTTAGGGTTGTTGTAGTGGTCCAACTGCTTTCAAAAAAGTTATACCTGAGCTAAGAGGAGGGCCCTACATGATTACAAGAATGGAAAATCAAGTTTGAAACGGATTTGAAACCGGAAATCCATTGAGGGTTGTGCTTTGAGTCAATTGCAAGATTGGGGCTGGAACTTCCGGGTTGAATTTCTCGAGGCCTGTTGGTACCAGTTTTCGTAAGTATGAAAAGGTGCTACTTAGCTTCGTGAGCCTAAATTCAAATCCCCTGGAAGCCAAAAGAACATGCAGCTCGGCTTGACTCCCACTACTTGGAGAGTCATGGGGACTTAGTAAGTAAGTTATTAACAGAGATAATTGGAGTTATCAACCTACTTACTAAGTCCCCATGACCCTCCAAGTATGCGGCCTGGCGTACTTGGCGAGGTATCCCGTCTTCACCTTCAGATTATAGATTCCAGAACATCAGCACAGATTTCGTGAATTCGGGTGTCCCCCATGTCAATATTGTGGACCTTATGGCTGCCCATCATGTCAAGTAGGGCTGATCCAGCTAGTTTAGCGACATAAGGGCGCCCAAAAAAAGAAATGATGCAAAAATCCCGGAACGCAAACGCCTGCACAAGCAGCATATACATCGTCTGCTTCTTCCTGAGTGACTAGTAGTATCACTATGTGCAGTTGTGAACACTCTCGACAATAAAAGATGCGAAACATGCTACTTCCCTTCCATCTGCTTGCCAGCTCACGTTGGGCGGCGGCTGCTTCCATGCGGCTTTCCTCTTTTCCAGTTCCGCATCGGATACGTCCATGGTAAGAAGCAGCTTCGTTGCATCCACAGTGATCATGTCTCCTCGGCTTTTGGTCGATAATCTCATCCACGCAGGGTAGTTTCTCAAGAACGTCGGCCGTTTTTGCGGGGCTCTGGAATTCTGACTATGATTTGCGCAGCATCAAGGAGAAGACCAAACAAGCAGTAAAAGCAAGGTGCCATTCTGGATCAATCCAATTGCGCCTCCCACGAATGCCTGAGGTCAGCGCTCTGAACTCATCACATCGCGATTGCATGCCAGTGTCTTCACATAGTTAGTCATGCATCTCATAGGAGCACAGCAACAGCAGCAACAATACGTACAATACCTATTGGGAGAGTTCCCCTGCACTATGTACTTGCGCAGCTTTCACTTTTGAATGTAATCGGACGCTGGACTCCAAGAATGCGAAGCGTACACAGACAGGACTGATAGTTGTGGCAAGGCCTAGAATCGCAACTGCAATCTGTTGGAGCCTCCGGAGATACGTGGCCGATGATGAAGCCGTGGGATCCACCAGAAAAGCGGCCATCCGTCATCAAAGCCACGTGCTTACCCAGCCCAGCACCCATAATTGCACTCCTGAGATGGTAACAGGAAACATAAACTTAGGGTTTTGCAGGGGTAATGGAAAAGAAAATGGAAACGACTATAGTATAATTGGGTATATATTGGGGTTGTATACATGCGCAAGGATAACCCAAGGTTAGGGTATAGCTGTTCTCCCAGACATACCTGTGGTTACGCGTCCGTGCCTGCTCTCCCAACTATCTTAAGTAGGGTGACTGCATCCGGACATGAGGAACTAGCAAGTCCAAGACATCCATGGCCTGTCTTGCTCGCATGGCTTCATATAGGTATTCCAAGACTTCCGAGATAACTTGACAACCACCACAAACATCTTCCTCATCATGCTGTCTATTTACTTCAGAAATCATTCCAATGACGGCGCCAATTTTTTCCAAAGATTGCCTTTCAGAACTCTACAGGTTATGTTGGGGTTATATAGGGAATGCTATAGTAAACTACTATAGAGTTTATCTAATATTGGGGTTATATAGGGTATGACCCCGACCCTGAGTCTGCTTGGGCACCAGAATGGGAACCTATCTTTGGGGAGCTCAACACCTAAAAGCTCCTCAGAAGTCTGGGTTATTTTGTGGGATAGAAACTACAAGCTACTGTAAGCCCTATAGTCCCCTTAAGTAGATAGAATATGGCTTTGGGTGTATTATACGAAGATCCCCATATACCCCATATTCTATCTACTTTAAGGGGGACTAGACTGTAAGCCCTAGCGTTGTGAAGCTACCGCCAACTTTAAAGCAGCCCAAGTACGTCGGCGTCAGCATCTCTCGCATACCGGGGCCACCCTTTGGGCCCTCATAACGGATCACGATGAAATCGCCCTGGCCCAGAATCAGATCAGCTTGAAATTCTTTGGGAGTCTCTTAAGACCCTGGGGGCTATGGGGGATTACTGGGAACTATTGGGTGCATCGCTTTTTGTTTCATGCATGCTTTTCACGGTCAATGCTCCCCAATCAGCACATCGGAAGTATGCAGGGATCAGCGTATATAAGCTGACAATCATTCTCCTCGTTGGGGCTTGCACAACATCGGGACACCAGGCTACCTAAACGGATGAGGGGGGGGGCTCTTTCGACAAGGGGTCCCGGAGCTTGTGAGGTGTCAGCTGTGAAGCCAAGCCTTCTATTACTTGGGCAGGTAAACATACAGCCACCGCCGGGAACCGTTCCAAGGCCCTCAGTCCCAAAATTCCAGGTCCCTCAGACGAACTATGAAGCCATGTCATAGCCTTAGCAGTCTTAGTGAACCAAAATCGCTGATGCTCCCTTGCATTCGTGGTATGTAGAATGGCTGCGCGGAGCATTCTTCACGTTTACCATTCATAGCCCTATAAGGTTTGAAAGACCTGGCATCGACTACGCATAGTAGCAAAACCATCACACAACATCGTAGGACAGACAAGTACGACCTGGCAGCCTGATTGTGTAAGGATAAGATTGTAACGACGCTTCCTGATGCAAGGTATAAATTGGGAGAATGAAACATAAAATGGAAACTACTATGGGCGTTATATGGGGGTATATATAGGCTTCATAAACCCTAAAACCTAATCCCTAAACCTTAAACCCTGAACCCTTAACATTTGGGTTACATAGGGGTCCTGACTTTAGGCCTACTATTCAAGGATACAAACCCCTACGCATCTCAGGCACCCAACTCAAGAGCTGACACTGGTAGTCCCATCCCGAGAGAATGACGCCGGCATCCCATCCAAACAATACGTACATGTATACATATATATGTAGCTATGTATATATATACACACAATTCTATGTGTAAATATGTATATATATATATACAAATGAATAGCTATATCCATCGATCCGAATACTCAATGGTACAGAGTTGGGCATAATTGCCATTAAGGGGTGGTCTTGATAAGAAGGATGGATGACCCCTTTTGCCGAATGCACCATCTACCCCTCCACGCGATTCTCCCTATACGCTATACCCTGTACCCTATGATTACACCCTACTCCCTGTACCCTATACTTATTGGTGGCTAGTAGGGAGTACCGTAATTTACTCCCCATGCAAATAATCCGTATATACCATTTTCCCTCATCAGGAAGTATACTGTACCTCCCATAGAAAAAAGGCAATTTACTCCCTAGATAGTCCCTATATCACATATTCCCTTATGAGTAAGAAACCCTAAACCCTAAACCCCAAACCCTATACCCCCCAATTCAGAGGCAAAGCACGGGCCTTGCTTATCTTGCCTTGCTCTAAGCCTTTGAGCATAGCTTCCTGCTGAGAGTTCAGGGTTGGGGGTTCAGGGTTTAGGGTTTGGGGTTCAGGGTTTAGGGTTCGGGGTTCGGGGTTTAGGGGGTCAGGTTGACTTAAACGTAAGTAATTTTGTAGGTTTCTGGTATTCCCGTTCTTGGCCTACAGACTAAGACCTCGTGACTCTCCAAGTAAGGCTTAGGGTGTAGAATCTAAGGCTTGAGGACTAGGGCTTGGGGTGCCAAGTTAGGGCTAAGGGTTTAAGGAGTTTGGTGTGACAAGATTTCAAACACGGTTTTCAGGATTCGGGATTGATATTCTGAAGGTTGGGTTCAGGGCTTCGCTTTCAGGGTTCAGGATTTGGGATTTAGCGTTGGCTAGGTGTTTTGCAGATTAGGGCATAATGTATGGGAGTTCTGAAATTAGGTTGCTAGTTTAGATTCAGAAGCAGTGGGATTACCATGGACATGTTGGAGGACCCTTACATGTGAATCCGCCAAACACAACTCTCCCCTTGCATGTAGTAAGGCCTTCATCAAGGAGATCCTGCTGCCTTCACAGAGTTATATAGGGATAATGGAAAAGAAGATGGAAACTGATATAATGGGGTTATATGGGGTTTAGGGTTCAGGGTTTAGGGGTTATATAGGGATAATGGAAAAGAACATGGGAACTGCTATAATGTGGTTATCCAGGGTTTAGGGTTCAGTGTTTAGGGGTTATATAGGGATAATGGAAAAGAACATGGGAACTGCTATAATGTGGTTATCCAGGGTTTAGGGTTCAGTGTTTAGGGGTCATATAGGGATAGTGGAAAAGAAAATGGAGACCCCAAATAATGGAGAATCACGTGGACAATAACATGGAAAGTGACATGGATACTGAGATTACGGGGCTTGTAGGGGTTTACAGCATAAGTTGCGCAAAGGCCATTGACTTTTCAAAGCTGCCACTCGTGTAGCCTTCCTGTGAAACATTGTGTTTTTTTCGCCCTTTCTTTGTCAGGTGAGGATTTTTGCAACGAATGCCTTGTTCGATAGCAATGGAATGCAACCTTCCTTGCACCTCGGTGAGAATCAGAAACACTGACCGTGGTCTTGGCCTCCTACAAAGTACTAGAGCCTGCAGTACCACGTAACATTCTGATCATGCTACCGCAATAAGACTAACGTCGGCAATGGTCGCACTACTGGTAACACGGAATGAGAATTTCTGGATACCTCATCTACCCCCCAGTCTGCACAATGAATCCTCAATCTTGAGGTTGACAAACAGAAGAATACCGGGCGATTTTTCGGTACCGGGTACAGCGCAGCATGTACTTTTTGCATGTAGAGAGCAACACGAGGCCCTCGCTTCTAAACTGGCCATGTGAGCCGTTGTCTACATTTCTAGTATCCCCCTAATAACCCCTGTAGTAGTCCCCTATACAATCCGCTATATAACTTTATAACCCCCTTTAAGGAGTTTAGACTATAGCTCATATGCACAACACGGGGAAGCTGCATCCTCGCTGTCGAACACGTTCGCCTTGCCCGTGAAAGAGGTTCCCTGACGACAGGTTGTCCAAGAAGTTGGATGTGGGGTGGTAGCTCCGTTCCCCAGTAACCCCATAATAATGGGGGTACCACAGATCTCAAAGAGCGGTCATGTCATGAGAGGGAGCCGGAGCGAAGACTAGACAAAAGTTTCTGGATCTCCAGAAGGATAGTCCTTGCGTCATTGGCCTCAGAGTTTAGAGGACGAAGGGGGGTACCCTTTTACCCAATGTTCAGTTTTAGTAAGGAGCCCCAAATAAGTAGAGAAAAAGGGTACGATAAGGCTACCTAGCATCGGGTTTTGTGAAATCAGCTCTTTTCTGACTAATTGGACACCTAATGTGGCACCTGAACAGTTCGGAAGATAATCCCTGTAAGTATCTAGCTGCCACGCCCAAAGCGTCTGCTTCATTACTGTTATTGCTGTTCTTACTATTGCCACTATTACTACTTTTGCTATTCCTTACATCACTATACCTTGAATCGCAGGCTTGAAGCTTCAGGGCGCAGGCTTTCGGGTTCTTCATCCCCTCACAACAAGTTAACAGCATGCGTTCTGAGCTCATAAAGAAAACTTGGAATGCGTATACGGTTGATCCAAGAAGGGTTTATTCTTGTTTGCTCGTCCAAAAAGTGCAAGTATGTTGCCGCTGCCCCCACCTCGCAAGTCCTTATTTTGACAACCCTCATTTCAGAAGAGCTGTCCACCTCCTTCCCTGTGATCTTCGCCACGGCGCCATCTATACAAAGGTTGCCGCGCCTAGGCTGTGATCTTCGAAGAGTCACGGTGGCAAAAGCAAAGCGGATGCCACTCTGAAATTACGCGTACGCCTTTCCCTACTGGGACACATTCTAGAAACAGTTCAAGGCTTGCTGTTTTTGCTAGTTTGAGGCTCCTGTCTCTGACATGGTACAGTATCTGCGTACGGGATCTGAGCCATAGATCGATGCGTCCCTGCAAATTCTCGAGCTTGAGGTTCTCTCAACCCTTAACCCTAAACAACCCTTTATCTTCAAGGTGCTGCCCTAGGTCGGCACTCGTTTCTGAAGGAAACTTCAGATCGCTGTTTGCATCTCGTGTTTTCAGACGCGAAGCACCATTGCTCTTCATTCAGCCTAGACACTACCTGGATCCTCAATGTTGTGCGTGCTACAGAAAAAATCCAAGAAGCGGGAAGAACATCCGAGATGTAAACAGCCCAAACTAGCCGAGGGCCCAAACTATCTGAGGGCCTCTCAGGGGCGTGGCTTGCCTCTGGGAGTGCCGCAAAAAACCATCCTTCTGCATAGGAGGATCCTAGCTTTCGAAACGAATCTTAAATGCATTCTTGTTCAAGTCAAGGTGGTCGTACGCAGTCAGATGCCATCAATATGTTCTTGACTTCCGGCACAAGGATGAATGATTAATGACAAGTATCGAAGCTGGAGAAGAACAGCGTACAGAGGCCAACTTTGGAAGCAAGGCCGAATCTCACCAAGAGGACCCCAATAGCTGTTGTTCTGTCCGTGCTCCTGTGAACACTCGCTGTCACTGTAGGTCCTGGGCATCGTTGGTAGTAGCAACCTTGAAATTAAAGACGGCATGAAGGATCAGTCTGAAAGCAAGAAGCACAGAAAGCCTTGAACAGTCAGAAGCGCGTAAGATTATGCAGAGGGCTTAGAGAACCTGCATTCCAAGAGACAGGATCTTGATGTTGCCCGTCTTTTGGATGCACCTGTACTCATCATTTCTGCGAGAGTCATTTTGCTACGCTGCTTCTGGTATTTCTCATGCCCTCCTGGGCCTGGCCCTTTTCCTTAGCTTTCATTTTATGATCATGACAACCAGGGCTGGTAGTGGTACTGCTGTTGTACTCTCAATTCTTGGAGGGCCCCTAATATAGGCCCTTAGGCCTTTTGAGGAGCCCTTAAGGGTACATATAGGGTGTATTATGGGTATATAAGGATTCCAGGGTTAATGGCCCATACTAGCGGCCCGCGGTTTCAACCTGAAAAACTCTAACTATAGGATGAACTGAGCTTTGCTTCGCCTCGATCCGGCGACTTCCAAAGGTTCCCCTTAAAGTAACTTCAATTAGGGCTAATGATCCCCCCCAAAACAGCCTTAGATAACAGCCTTAACCCTAAACCCTAATTAACCCATGACTCACCCTAGACCCCAATTCCAGAATCAGCCCTAGAGCCTTAGACACCAAGCCCGCCTACAAACATGAAGCCGCGGCACTTCTCCAAAGGCAGTATCACGCCTTGCGCGCCGAAATCCAAATCCTAGGCTCCGATGCAGCCCTGCAAAA